TTTTTTGTTTGTATTTCTTAAAATATACTTTAAATTGAACAACAATTGTATTGTAATATATTGGCATATATTAATTATAAATAATTGAAACAGTGAAATGAATTGAGTGCCGTATTACCTTTTTTGTTCTTGTGACAAAGACGTCACATCAGGTTTTCCATGACGACGTCACAGCGATATTTTCGTAACTTGTTTTATATTATTTTTTTCAGGAAATATGGTCAGACCAGGTTAAATGCAATACAGGACACACTATTAAAGCATTAGAGTTGTTCCATGGTTTAAACCTACCTTAGTAACAGAAAACAAGCTTTTTGAATTTAGCTACTTCCTTCATTTCTGTTTACCAGTCACACCCACTTTTTGGAGAGGACACTTCCTGTCACAGTCACATGACTGTGACACCAGGATGTTTTGTATGTGTCACTTAGGGACTTAATGAGTTAAGGGTCAAGCATAAAGCTGTATAGGGAAGACTGAAGGACATTTAAAGTGTTTGTTACACACGTGTCATTTCCCTGATACTGATACAGGGTTAGGGTTAGGGTTCATTTTCGGACCCTAGTATCGGCCGTCCTGCTCTGTAACGTTAAAGTAGTGACAGCAGAGGTTGAGGAGAAACATGAGGTGAGAGGGGAATAACATGCACCAAAGCCACCAGACAGAACGGGAACTGGGATGTCGTGGTTGCTGTTTATGGTGTGTGTGTCTCAACCAGTCTGCCGTCAAGCTGCCTTGTGTTGCTGCTCATTTAAACTGCTGCTGCTGCTGCTGCTGGTTAATTGCCCGTGTTGCTGTTTGTGTGAACCATATTCTCGCTGTAGGTCTAATTATCCTCGGGCCAAACCGTTTCTGACTGTCCTCGGGTCTCTTTCGGATCAGTTCTCGTCTTTTAAAAATGAAGTGAACTCGCAGGGTCCAGCAGGGTTTCCACGTGTCTGGTTCAAAGCAGGTACAGCATTTTACACGTCTGAAGGCCTCTCGTGTTGTTGTGCAACTGTGTAATGAACGTTTTCATTATCGATTATTCTGCAGATTATTTTCACAATTGGCATTTTATTCTGTAAAATGTCACTGAAAGCAAAGAAACCGTCCAAAACCAAAAGATATTTAGTTTACTGTCATATAAGACAAAGAAAAGCAGCAAATCCTCTCTTTTGAGAAGCCAGGGGGGGGGCAAACGTTTTGACTTTTTGACTGGGCCACACTGAGTTCTACAGTTTGACTGGGGGGCCAGGCAAGGAGCAGATGGATGGAGTGTTTATGTGAACTAATGTATATGACATGTACAAGCCATTATATAAAAGGATTGGCCTTTAAGAGGCAGCAAAGCATGAATATGCAAGGCTCATTTACAAATTATTTTACAAATGCATTTATTCATAACAGTAGAGCAACTCACGTTCAATTTCGGTGGGAACAGTGTTGTTGCTCTCCCTTTTTTGCCAG